AATGTCCATCAATGATAGACTGGATTAAGAAAATGTGGCACATATACACCATGGAATACTATGCAGCCATAAAAAAGGATGAGTTCATGTCCTTTATGGGGACATGGATAAAGCTGGAAACCATCATTCTGAGCAAACTATCACAAGGACAAAAAACCAAACACCGTATGTTCTCACTCACAGGTGGGAGTTGAACAATGAGAACACTTGGACACAGGATGGGGAACATCACACACCGAGGCCTGTCGTGGGGTGGGGGAAAGGGGGAGGGGTAGCATTAGGACATACAGCTAATGTAAATGACAAGTTAATGAGTGCAGCACACCAACATGACACATGTATACATATGTAACAAACCTGCACATTCTGCACATGTACCCTAGAACTTAAAGTATAATAATAAAAAAAAGAAAGACATTTAGGTTGTTTCCTTTTTTGTCAATTATAAATAAAGCTACTAAAAACATTTCTTTACAGGTTTTTGTATGCATATAAGCTTTCATTTTTCTTGAGTGAATACTTAGGAATAGGATTGTTGGGCCTTGTGACAAGTGTATAATTAGCTTTCAAAGAGGTTCTCAAACTCTTTTCTAAAATAGCTATACCATTTTGAAGTCCCAGCAGCAGTATATAATCAATTGCTCCACATACTAACCAGTACTTACTATTATCTGTTCATTTATTTTAGCCATTCTAATAGGTGTATAGTTGTATATCATAGTGGTTTTCATTTCTATTTCCCTAGTGACTAATGATGTTGAGCACCTTTTCGTGTGCTTATTTACCATCCTTATATTTCTTTGGTGAAATGAGTTCAAAGCTTTTGTTCATTTTCATTTGAGTTGTTGCTTTCCTTATTGTTGAATTTTAGGGTTCTTTATGTATTCTGTGTGTAAGTCCTTTGTTGAGCATATGATTTACAGATATTTTCTGCAAATCTTTAGCTTATCTTTTGATTTACTAAACAATATCTTTCTTAGAACAAAAGTTTTTAATTTTTATGAAGTCCAATTTGTCAGTGTTTTTCTTTTATAGATCATGCTTTTGGGGTCATACCCCAAGAACTTTTTCTTAACATAGGGCCACAAAAATTTTTCTCCTATATTTTCTTCTAGAAGTTTTATAATTTTACATTTTAAATTTAGATCTATGATCTATTTTGAGTTGATTTCTGTATAAGGTATGAAGGATGGAGCAGGTTCTTTTTTTTATTTTGCAACAAGATGTCCAATTATTCCAGCACCTTTTGTTGAAAAGAGTATCCTTTCTTCAGCTGTCTTTATGTTTTGGTCAAAAATCAATCGCCAAAAAAAAGAAAAACAGATGGGTTTGGATAAGGAGAGGCTTAAAAAAAAGAAAAAGAAAAAATCAACTGACCATCAAAGGATGCAAAGTTTCAAAGTTAGGAGAAATAAGCTTTAGTGAGCTATTGCACCACATGGTGACTATAGTTAATAATAATATATTGTACACAAATTAGCCAGGCTTGGCGCCACGTGCCTATAGTCCCAGCTACTCAGGAGGCTGAGGCAGGAGAATCGCTTGTACCCGGGGAGGTGGAAGTTGCAGTGAGCCAAGATCGCACCACTGCACTCCAGCCTAGGTGATAGTGCGAGACTCCATCTCAAAATAATAATAATAATAATGTATATTTAAAAATTGCTAAAAGAGTAGACTTTAAATGTTCTCATTGCAAAAAAAAAAAATAGGTGAGGTGACAGATAGTTAATTAGCTTGATTTAACCATTTCACAATGTATACATATATCAAAACATCATATTGTACTCCATAAATACATATAATTATTGTCACTTAAAACTACTTTAAAAAATCAATTATATTTGTGTGAATCTCTTTCTAGACTCTAGTCTTTCCATAGATCAATGTTTATTCTTTCATCAATACCACACTACCTTATTATAGTAGATTTATAGTTAGTCTTAAAACTAGGTGATATGAATCTATCTTCCAGCTTTGTTCTTTTTTTTTTTCAAGTATTGTGTTAGCTGTCTAATTCTTTTTCCTTTTTTAAATAAATTTTAGAATCAGTACGTCAATATCTATAAGATTCCTGCTGAGATTTTGACTGGGATTGCAGTGATTCTGTAAATCAAATTGGGAGCCGGGCGCAGTGGCTCATGCCTGCAATCCCAGCACTTGGGGAGGCCAAGGCAGGCGGATCATTTGAAATCAGGAGTTCGAGAGCAGCCTGGCCAACACAGTGAAACCCCATCTCTACTAAAAACATAAAAATTAACCAGGCGTGGTGGCAGGTGCCTGTAATCCCAGCTACTTAGGAGACTGAGGCAGGAGAATTGCTTGAACCCGGGAGAGGGAGGTTGCAGTGAGCTGAGGTCGCACCACTGTACACCAATCTGGGCAACAGAGCAAGACTCTGTCTCAAAAAATATATATATATATATGTAATATATAA